GCTGTGTGTGCGGCCTCGGCTGGCACTGTGAGCTGCACTGAGGCCCACAGTACTGAAACCTCCCAGGAAATCAGAGGGAAGTAGGAGGAGAGGAGGAAGGACACCGCGGGCAGGGGGCATGGCTGCTTCTGCCTTCTGGTGTCACATGGAGTCCCATCCCAGCTGAGCCCTCAGTGCTCCCTGGCCCCACCTTTAGCACCAACCTGGACGTCGAAGGGTGGGATGGCTTTCCCCATGGAACCAGGCTTGACCTGTGATCCCCGGGGAGTGCCGCAAGTCAATCCCTGGGCACAAAAGGAAGAGAATACCAGTGGTCAAAGGGTGCAGGCGGATCACAGAGCAGCAAGAATCCTACACAGCACACGTGCTCGCAGGGGTCATGGGACGCTGCTCCTAGAGCCTGTGGGGAGCTGGGAGCTCTGCATCCTGGGCCACAGGGTCCCGTGGGGGAGGCCAAGAAAGGAGCAAAGGGCTGAGCTCGGGGCTGTGGGCGGGTTGTGGGTGGGGGAGTGCCCACTGCACGCCAGGCTTGTGTCCACTTGACCAACACTTACTCAAGACTGCAGCTGACAGGATCCCTGCCCCATCTGCCCTCAGGGCTGTGCTGAAATCACTTAGGTTGCTCCTCTGCCACCACTCCCACCCCATTGCCCTCCTGGTGACCTCTGCCTCCTTCCTGGTTCTCTGATGCTGCCATCTGTCCTAGAGGGAAGCCTTCACAGTCAGAAGATGAGGTGATGCCCTGGGTCTCCTCTGTCAGAGGGGCTGTGCCGGCACCCCCTCTCAGAGCCTGCGGGGCAGGAAGCTGCACAGGCCACACCCATGAGCTCACCTGGCTCCTCAGGGCAACCAGCCCAGACTCAGGCCCCAGGAGCAGGCCTGGACGACCCTCCCTCGGTGGTATTTTCTCCGCATTTCTGTTGTTGCCAACAGGGCATTATACTGACTTTTGTGGGTGTTTCCCTCCATAGAAAACAAGCGTCTGAGCATAGAGATGGCCCTTTGGCTCTGCACCCCTGACACCTGGCGAACGACCCCCCATATCAGTGAGGACAGCGGGCAGGGCCCTGGGGGATGTGCAGGCTCGGCACAGCCCGGGGACAAACACACCCCTTGCCCTCCCCTCACTACCACTCGCAGGGTTAGCATTCTCTTCCCATTCTGTAGGTGGGGAAGCAGAGCTTCTGGCAGGGCCCACCTATGCCTATGGGCTTGAAGCTGCCACTGGCCATGCTGAGAGGAACTGACACCTGAGCTCCTGGGAGAGGAAGGCCTCCCTCTCCAAGCTGCTGCTCACACTTCATGGCCCAGAATCGCCCACAGGTGAGCGAGCGGGTAGCAAGTGCTTTGAGAAATGAGTCTCCGGGCAGCGAGGAGGGAGTATTATGTGGCTTCAAGCAAAGGGACTGGGGTTATGGGTGTAGCGTGTGCTTCTCTGTTCAAAAGTGAACTGGGAGCCATGCAAGGTCAGGCCTAGAGCCCTCACATTTCTCAGGCTGGAAGCAGACCACTTAACTGACTAAAACAAACATTTTCTTTTGCAAAAAACAACACACCATCAGACAAATATGTGAATTAGGACCAAAAGAGCCTGCCCTACAGGTCCTGAGAGGAGTGACTCTGTGAGCTGAGGGGATAGTGGGAGGAGGGGAGAGAGGCTGTGTCACCAACAGGGGGTTGAAGATGCCAGCACAGCAGACTCCACGGCCTGCCCACTGTGTGCTCAGTGATTGCCTTGGCGGTCACAGTGTGTGTTTGTGTGTGTGT